AAAACTGTGATTAAATCTTGGAATGTGTGTTTATATTTCACAAAATTACTCTCAATTATTACTATTATATATAATTTTGACTTTTAATCTCAGAGCGATTTTTTCATCTCGCAATGTAACAATGTATATTTCACAGCGTGATTTTTTTTCATCTCACAATTGTGACTTTTTATCTCACAATTTGGCTTTATTCCACCTTTTTCATTTTTTATTTTGAGGTGACAATGAGCTTCCATACTTCCAGGCTTCCATAGTTTCAGGCATGTTTACGTAAAGCTGTGTAAAGTGTGTCATACTGCTCTACTAGCCCCACAAAGTGGAGTATATAAACATTATTTATATAGTTCATTATTTATATACAGTAATCATATTTATATAGTTCAACTTCTTTATAAAAATGTCAATATCTGCAGCTCGAAAGGAAAAGCGTGTCTGGGATGGCGATAAATCTGTGCTTGTGGTTCTGGTGGGGAAGAGTGTGGTGCTTCCCTGTGTGAACCGCAGACAATTGTGGACGGACAGTCAGAGGGACGAGGGCCAGCAGCAGGTGGTCCACTGGGACTGGCAGGCACCTGGGGTCACCCGTGACCGAGCAGACCGCCTCATCGATATGTATGCCTCTGGAGAGAACCGGCAGTACGGGCCACTCTTTCTCCGGGATAAGATGAACATCTCAACTGATGCCTTCTACCTGGGGGATTTCTCCCTGAGTGTCCACAACATTCAGCCCTCTGATAAAGGCTTGTATTCCTGCCACCTTCACCATCACTACTGTGGCTTACATGAAAGACGAATCTTCAGGGTGATCGTCGGCCCTTCTGTCCAGCCTTCGCCTCCAGCGCGCTCCTCTACTGATGCACCAAAAACTCATTCTTCTTATTCCGTCCCACCTGCTGATGACCCAAGTAAGATAATTTTTTTAATGTGATTTAAGTCTTTTATTTGTTGCACCTTTGATTTTTTTTTTAGAAGAAAATTGCTCAATTCTGTCATTATTTACTCTAATTTTGTTGTAGTCCTGTATGGCGTAATTTATTTGAATTTATTAGTTTTTGAAAAACTGTAATGCAGCTATTGACAGCTATTAAAGTGACAAAGGAATGTCAAGACCCAATAAAATCACCATAAAAATGGTGCGTACAACTTATGTACTATATTCCAAGTTTTCTGAAGTCACACAATAGCTTTGAACCAATGTCGTTTGATGTTTGTGATGTTGATGTGCCATTTTTGACTTTTGAGGTGATTATCAGTGAATAAAGACTTACATTTTGGGTTGTTTCTAATACAAAGCTATTATATGGCGTTGGAAGATTTGGAATATAGTGCACAAATTATATGGATCACTTTTATGGTGCCTTTTGTTTTCTTTTTGGTCATTATGACCAGAAGTTGTATGGCAAGATCTGTCAAACGATTCTTCAAAAAAATTCTGCATCTATTCCTTTTTTTTTT